TTTAAGAGACTGAGCTGAAAACAGCACCTCAGACTGAGGAAGTCTCTTGGATGAGAGACGAAACGTTTCTAGATTTTTTTGCTTTGTTTTGTTTTTTGTTTTTATTGAATGTCCAGAGGACCAGATTGAACTTTCTTGGATTTTTCTACCTGGATTATTGAGCATGCATCAGGATACTTTGACTCAAAGCTAAAAATATTAAATCAGTTTACACCTTATCTTTTTTTGCACAACACAGTTCTCTACTTTGTCACTGTTTTAAGCAGCCTTCCTGTTGGTTTATGTAAATAGAGATGTTTTCTGCCACTGATCAGCTGCCAGGAGTCATCCTGCTTCTCTGACCAACAGGTTTTCCACTGAAAAATCTGGATTGCTCACATTGCTTTTGAGCTCAGATGAAAAAATAGACAATGTATTTTATTTTGTCATTCCCCATATTTGTCTTCTCATTTTAGAATGAGCACAGTGGAAATGGGTTAAACAAAAAGGGATTATTTAACTGAAAAAATAATGACAAATGACGAAAACAAATGTCAAATGAAAACAGTAAAAATCCATTTCTCCCAACATTTTGCTCAAACTGCTGCGAACTCCATTTGAGTTTGCAGGCATAATTTGCTCTTCCATGGATCATATTTCAAGAATCTGTCAGCTTGACATCCCAATGAGACTTTTTGTTTGATTCTCCAAACTGATCCTTCTGACTGCTGTCTCCTGTAGGTAATACAATCATATGTCTGACATAAAACCCTTCAAACATCTCTAACATGAAACAAAGGAATGCTGACATTCAAATAAATAATACGGGAATGTTACTTGAAGATTTCCTGTCTTTTCCATGTTCTATACATTAAACACAGCTTAAACTCTGAATGTTTTCCACTGGCTGTGACATTTAGTTTACTTACCAAGTGCCAACCTGGAAATTGGTCTTATTTGGAATATTTATTTAAACACGCCAAACCTTCTATGTCAGATGAGCGGTTTTATTAAATGAGTTTTGAGCATTACTACCAAGTAACCCACTATCTAATTTATATGAAATTCATAATGAAGCTGCTCAATTCCATAAATTCTCTTTTGATAAAATGTTGCTGGAGATTACTAAACTGTGAAAGTCAAAAACAAAAAGTAACATTTTTTGGAATGCAGGTCTGATACCAAGGGGCCCTCAGCAAGATCTATACACTGCTCAGTTCATACCATGAGTCCAGATTGGACTCCCTTAAAATGAAATGGGAAACAGACTCAGTCTGGAGAAAGATCATTAAGAACACTTACACATCCTCAATCATCCTGAGACATGCTGTAATTCAAGTCAAGGTGGTGCACAGGTTGCACTGGGCCAAAGACAAGCTGTCCAAGATCAAAACCTGGACTCCACATGTAATTGTTGTAAACAGACTCCAGCTACACTCCTGCATACATTCTGGACCTGTCCCAAACTGCAGACCTTTTGGTAATCAATTTCTGACACCTTCTCTGGGATGTGTGGCAAAACTGTACACCCATCACCACTCATCTCACTGTTTGGGGTGGTCCCTGTGAATATGTCCTTCAGCAAGTACGGGAAGGATGTGATTGCTTTTGGCTCTCTTTTAACCAGGAGACTAGTTTTGTATAATTGGAAGGACCCACACGCCCCAGCATACGTATATTAGATAAGAGAAGTGATGTAATCATATCCATCTGGAAAATAGTAAGATACACAGTAGTCCCTCGTTTAGCGTGGGGGTTTCGTAACCCCCCTCCCCCCCAAGCGATAAGTGAAAAACCACAAAGTAGGAATACAGTAGTCCAAGTTTAAGTTCAGTAAACTTTGTCATGACATGTGGCATGCTGCAATCACACTCACTCATCACCTGTTACTCCCAATCTCCCTCCTTAAATAAACAATTTAAATTTCAATACTGTAACATTTTAAATAAACAATCTATGCAACATGGATTGTTTATTTAAAATGTTACAGTATTTAAATTTAAATTGTAGAGTAGTGCAGCAGGACATCAAACCCTTCACACAGCTCTGCAGCACGGAGCAGAAATGTACGTCTTGATCATTTACACTGGAACAACTGAACATAGACGTTCTAAAATAATTCAAAATAACTAATTTTGTGATTATGATGATTTTACGATGTGACATACTTTGAATTTTAAGTTGGAAGACAAAAGTTGATCAGTGCATCTGGACAGCAAAGGGTTAACCCTTCACAAAGCTGCAGCAGGAGAAATGTTGCAGAGAAGGAGATCATGACAGGCTGCAGGAGGGAGCTTCCCCCTGCACTTGTGGGCTGCACACAGGTGCAAAAACATTTAAAATAATTTACTTTAAACAAACAATCCATGGCTCATACATCAATCAGCCAATTGTGTCATGTCCAATCTTACTTTTAAAAACCGCTATAGAGCGAGTCTGCGAAAAATGAACCGTGAAGTAGTGAGGGACTACTGTATCCTGAAGGGCTCTGTTAGAAGATTTTGGGACATGTGGCAGCCCTTTATGTTGTATGTGGAAAACTTATCAATGCTTGTGGAATTCATTTATGTATGTATGACTGATCCAGTGTGGAGGGATTTTTTGTTTTATGTTCTTTGTGTTTTATATTTTCAAAATGAAAAATGTATGAAAAGACTGATTTAAAATCAAATAACTATAAACGCCTCAAACATAAAGGGAGACAGCATCATGTTTGATCAAGGAATGCTGTAAAAGCTCAAGACTTCCCCTAAATTCATAATTCAGCTGGCTGCATGGCATAGTCTGCATTCTGATACTTTTTTGAATAATGCAGAAAATACCCCCAAAACCCAAACCAGCAAATCCAACAAGAAATAATAAACTAAAATCAAGTCACATTCAATCCCAGAAACTCTAGAATCAGGATTTGACTGAGACTGAGTTTCTACAAGCATCACTACAAACAAGGAAATCTGTTCAAAACAGTATACTAAATGAAAGCACCATCACAAATAAAATCCTTAAAGCTGCATTTAAGAGTTGCAAATTATTAATTGCCTGTCCACATTTACCCTTGAGATATCTTGGTTGGCTGTCACTGCTATATCTTTAACAAATGAACATAGTAAAGCATCACAAAAGATGTCATTTTTAATGATCAAACTGGCAGCAGCTGCTTCCGCCAATAATCATCATATTAATTTGAGACTACTGCAGAGACGTTTGCCAATGAGCCACATTATCGTTGTCTGCAGCCTGCCTGGATAAGCGATGGCAGGAAGGATGTGCTCATGACATTAGTGTCACATCTGTTGATGACAAACATGTAGGCTGCTTGCTCGTCCTTTGCCTCCCTTTTTATGGCCAGTGGGAGGACAATGTCTGCACAACATCTATGTAAAGCGGCCTCATTACGATGCACACAGAAAAAACATAATTACCATAATAACACAAATGGACCAAGTTTCGCTGCCAAGTCAAAGGCTTGTTTGTCTGGGAAAACACAGCAGCACAAAGCTATGGCACTTGCCAGTCACAGTGAGTTTTCAATAAGTCTTCACTGTTTGGTTTATTAACAGGGACCCAAATGATTGACACAACTGTGTATGTGACTCATTGCACAGAATACCAAGAGAGTCAGATTTATGCACACGTCTGCTCGTGACCATTAGGAGCCGCTCCGACTTCTGCACTCAGGGGAGAAGTTTGTTCTCATTCAGTAACTATTTCTTTTGTTAGCGCAGATGAATGAAGTGAGTCATTCAATTTCCAACAGTCGTGTCAAACAGGTAAGAACTGTAATAAAGTCCTCTGTAGCGTTGTTTACTGATAAGAAAAAGTGTCTGTGTTCTGGAGCCAGAATATATACAACCTAAGGACACCCTGCAAAACAGATGCATGCTTAAATATATTTTTAAATGTCCAATACTGACATGAATGGACCTAAATAGGGAACAAATTCTTATGCATAAAAAAACATCTCCAACATGGTCAGTGCATTGGACTCCACCACTTCAGTTTTTCTGCTACATATAAAAGACTTGGTTACAAGATTTAAGCCTTAATCTTGAAGAACAAAAATGGGACATTTTTCTTTAGTTAGTCCATAACTCTTCTATTTGTGCCCAGCATGGGCTGATTCAATGCAAACTCAAGCACAGATACTATTACACCAACCACAGACCATATAAAATCTATCCCAATCGAAAATGGGAAACAGAGAAAAAACCTGCAGACTGTAAGCACATTTCCTGTTTGTACTGGAAAGGTGGAAGCAAGTTACTGAAACAAAATGGAACAAAAGATGACTAGACGAGTTGATCATTTAAATCTATTTATGATTAACACGTCAAATTCATCAATAGGTTCCTTCATTAAATATGTAAAATTGTTTGGGGGTTTGTTCCATCATTTTATTAATATGTTAATATTAATAATATTAATATAAAATGTTAAGTTATCCAATATATAGTTTTGCAAACATTAAAAATATTACAATTTAAATGGCTGCTAGTGATGGTTTTCAGGCCTACAACGGAGTCAGAGTCAGCGAGATTTATTTGTCATACACACCACATGTGATACATAAGATGGGACGAAACATGTACGCAGGGTCCCAGTTACATCCAACAAAAACACAAATTGTAAAGAAAAATATTAGTAAGATCCGAGTCATGAACTAAGAATACACTAAACTAAGAATACACTAAACTAAGAATACACTAAACTAAGAATACACTAAACTAAGAATACACTAAACTAAGAATACACTAAGCACTAATGGTACAAAAACAATGTGCCAAAACAGTATATAAACAATAGACAACAGTTTAAAATTAATTAATTATTAAATTAGTCAGAACTACACTTACAGCATAGAGAGAGATGGAAAGAAATATTCATTTACCTTGTTGGGGTCACTGGCTGTGATGATCCACACACACTGGGAGTTACTCTCATACTGGATGGGGAAGTTTGGCGACATAAACGTCCCCGATGGTCCCTGCAGGTTTGACCCACACGTTTTCACTATTGGCAGAAGAGAAAATGAACAGTTTTATTTTACTTTACATTCCCGCTGGTGGAAAACTTACAGGCTCTTCAAATGATCAGGCGTGTGTCTGACGTCTGAAATACATGATGACAGCTTCACAACAAAACCTAACCAGAATCATAAAAATATGTTTAGTGACAAGAAGAATAAAGACACATGGTGGCCCCCACAGAGCCCTGATCTAACTAACTCCAGACTAAAACCTCTGTCTACATCGTGCAGTTGACATTTTCTTCAAGACGCCTGGAACAACTGAACAGAAGAGGTTTAGCAGTGCTAGAACAACCATTTTATTTCTGTAGTTATAGCTACAGTATCTATAAGCTTCTATACTACACAGCAGAAACTAAAGTCCTTTCCTAACACACTATAAATATTGAAGGACATGGTGCTCTCAAGGCAGAGTAATAACTTCTGCATTGTAATATCACTGAGAGTAATGTATTGTTTGCACAAGTAGTGAGAAGGTCTATTAGGTGTATTTCCGTTAATCAAATTTTAAAAGGTGCTCCAGGTATTAAGAAACACAGAAAAACTGGGGGGAAGCGTTTTGGGTTGGACGTGTGCAGCAGCAGCAGCTTTCATGCATAATTAACAGAAATGAACTTTCCTCTATCTGCATAGTGCCTATATCCAGAGGCACTGCCTTAATCAAACTGTTTTATTAGCTCCTCGCGAGCCACACTCACCCTTGCAGACGGGCCTGTGGTCGCTCCAAGCTGCGAAGACTTCGGCTACGCGTTGGCAGATAATCGTTTTGGAACCTTGCAGCACATGGTCCTCATCGCAGGTAAATTGAGCAGTTGCTCCGATGCTGTGGAGATAACAAATACCATTAGCAGCAGAAAAAGGCAATCAATTTTTCAAAGATGACTCCAGATGAAATACCAAATTCTTTATTTATTTCACGTCACTCACGGATATACTCGGAACAAAACCGAGGCATGCAACGACACCTCAGTGTTTACTTAGATCTAAAACTTTCTGGATCCTATCACAGATCAGTGTACAAATTTGGTAACACTTTACAATAAGGTACACAAAATTTGATTAACTACTAGAGAACGCCTCAGGAACTAATCAGGAACAAATGAGGAGTTAATAGGTAGTTAACCAGTACCTACTGGGGAACGCACAGCCAAGCCTTATTAAGGGACTACTGGTTAGTTACCTTGTAAACAAAGAGGAACTAATCAAGAACTAATGGGTAGTTAACATGGAAACCAAAGAGAAACTAATCAGGAGCTAATGAGTAGTTCACCAGTACTTACTGAGGAACACACAGCCAAGCCTTATTAGGGGACTACTGGTTAGTTACCTTGTAAACAAAAGGGAACTAATTAAGTACTAATGGGTAGTTATCAAAGAAAATAAAGAGGAACAAATCAGGAACTACTGGGTAATAAAATCAGTAAACAATAGGAAACAGGTTTTTGACAATTACGAGATGTGACCTCACTGGTGCAGGGTTTAGAACCTACGTGGAGAATTTCTCCTCTGTTTCTGTGGTGACAAACCAGTAGTCCCCGAATAAGGCTTGGCTGTGTGTTCCCCAGTAAGTACTGCTGAACTACCCATTAGCTCCTGATTAATTCCTCTTTGGTTTTCTTGGTAACTACTCATTAGTTCTTGATTAGTTCCTTGTCATTTACAAGGTAACTAACCAGTAGTCCCCTAATAAGGCTTGACTGTGTGTTCCCCAGTAAGTACTGGTTAACTACTCATTAGTTCCTGATTTGTTCCTTAGGTGTTCCATAGTAGTTAACCAAATGTTGTGTTATTTATTATTATTGTAAAGTGTTACCACAAATTGTTCTCTCTTCAGGGGCTTTGATCATAAAAATAACTTACATCTGATCATTTAACAGAAATCGTTATCATCTTCTAGATTAAACTGAATTTAATATTTGTTGCATAAACAAACATTTTAATATTTCAGGCTGACATCTTTAGACTGGACACAGTCCTGCTAATAATACCACTAAACGTATCACCGCTATCCTCCTTGAATTTATGTATGCAGTTCATTTCAGATAAAAAGCAGCAAACTAACCTGAAGTCAGAACCGATCCGTTTGCCGTTCTCCGGCTCCCCCGGGTCAGGACAGTAGTTAGACACCTGTTTGACCCCCCCTTCATTCACTGAGCACAAGAAAAGACAAACATGAGCCGCACAGATTTGTCAGAACTCTGTCGATTTGGAAAACACCCCGGATAAATATAGTTCTGCTGGGGTTGAGGAACGAAACAGACATCATCTCTGAATGTAAGACAGTGATTTGGCAGCGCTGTAGTGAATTTACACATCTTTGGGGAAAGAGTGAGTGCCAAGCTTAAATGAAACACTCAAACCTGAGCTAACAAAGAAAAATCTACCTGAGGCACACAGGAGATTGAATAACCTTGAGTTATTGATTGCTGGAGCAACAAAAATCATTCAGCCAGACTTTTCACATATAGTAATAATTTAGTTGACTCGATAAAACCTTGGAGATACTGTTTAAATTGAGCATTGTCATGTGGGTGTAGACAGGTGGCTAAAACCCAAAAAATACTTTAACAACCTCATCGTCCCTAAATTATTATGGAATGGATTGTATAAACATGTCATTTCATATTTATTTTTAAAATATACTTAAGGTTTATGCAATGCTTTTCTGAAGAGAGGAGCATCACCGGCACACGGTTTGTTGTTGACTTCTTTCAGAAAGTTCATAAGCTCTGAACCTAATTTTTGCGAGTTATAATGCAGTTATGAGTTCAATTATAGGCAATAAATCCTCAAAGCTTCTGAAGCATCCCTCGTATAGCATTTTAATGATATACAGCATTGTCTCGTGGAGAAGATTACAGCCCTCTGCATTATTCATGTTTCCATGGAGTGTTGAATCTATGAGGCATAAGGTAATAAAGATTACAACCTGTTATCATCCCAGTCTTTAGCACTCTGCTGAGTTAAAGGGAACTGTGCTCCAGATTTATGGTAATGACACAGCTCCCCGAGCTATTAGAATGCTTTCTGTTTTGTTTGAAGTGTACACAAATCACCTGACAAGTGAGTGGTCATTCAACCTTGACTACTGCCACGTGTGGGTTTCACTCACATAAGTCAATCTGTTCCCTAAACAGTACAAACTGAGATGGGTGGGGCTGGGGTGTACAGGCCAACTAACACTTGTCAAATTTATCTACAAACGCAAGCAGTGCGCTGATGTCCCGCGTTGCTGAGGGATTTGAATAGTGAATGTCTGTAGTTTTCAAGATTAGTGTTTTTCTGGACTGAAATTGAACAGGGAATGCAAGTGAACCTTAATGTTTTAATGAAGGATGTTCAAGTGGGAGTTACACTGTGGAGAAGAACAGAGGGAGGTTTTTTTCATTTACTTGTCCAAGGCAGCGCAGAGTGACAGATCCTGGTGACTGGAGGGATCAGTTTTATCCACCACCAGGAGCAATGGTGGAGCCAGGGGGTGGCCACTGGAGGCCTTGTACACTTCAGATTAATCTTCAGCCACCCCAAGGCTACCCCAGTTATTTAGTGAAACTATACTTTTAAGTATGATAACAACTAGAAAGTATACTGTAGTTCCCTCAAATGATCGGGGTAACTGGTTTACATATGCATTAGTCCCTGACTTACTGCAGGGGTTACGTTCCAGACACCTTTGCAATAGGTGAATATCCGCAAAGTAGGAATGTTATATTTATTTTAGTATTTATAAACATTTTAAGTTATAAACCTTTCCCACACTCTTGCAATGTTCTTAACAATGTTCTAAACTCTCTAAACGCTCTAAAAGAGCACAGCTAAAGAGAGGAGAAAGACTGATGCTACGGATACTGCGCCAATCGGACTGGCCATCGGGAGAACCAGGACATTTCCCGGTGGCCTGGCCCACTCAGTGATCGCCGAGGGGGACTAAAGGCTCAGCTCTGGTCATGTTTGATTATTTTAAAGAAACAATCTATGTCACTCATGTGGTTCACGCAGGTATAAGATACACCCTCCCCCCGCCCCCTCCTTTCTCTTTCTGAGGCTGTCTGTCCCAGCAGAGCAGAAACACACAACAGGTGGGCATGCAACCTGTTGTGTGTCTCTGCTCTGCTGGGACAGACAGCCTCAGAAAGAGAAAGGTGGGGGCGGGGTGGGGTCTGTCTTTCCCCATCGCCAATTGTGCGTCACATACAATCTCATGTTGAAAACTTGCAAATGAGTGAGTCCATGAAAGTCAAACTGCAAAATATCTGGAGACTACTATATAAGGTGGCCATCTTGAATTTTGACATCACAATCCAATTTTTGACAGTGGACTTTGTTACGCCTAGATGCAGCCACACACTAAAATGGATGGTACGTCCCTTATTTTTCAAAGTTATCATGCTCACAACATGCACAGATGAATGGACGAACTGCATTTCCAATTCCCCCTCTTCCCTCTGTGACAAGGGACAATAACTAGGTCTGTTTTAGCCGTGACAATTTCTGTCAAGACAAGAAGTCAAGGACAGCAGGGGAAGAAGGACATCAGAAAGAAAAAGCGACTGCACTTCTGCAAAATCTAGTACTGTAGCTTAATGCCTTTAACTAACCATGAAGCAAAGAAACCGACAGAAATAAAAAAGACCCAGAACACAAGCCTTGAATAAACAAAAAAATAAAAAATGTGTATAAACAATAAAAACAGTTGCATAAGAAAAATAAAAGACTTACTTAAAGACAGTTTGTTAGTGTTGTCCTTTCCTGGTAATAATTTTACGCCTCTGGATTTAAGCTCTCCAGAGCTTTTCACTGGTTGAAAGCAATGGAAAGAGTTCATTAGATATAAAAGAAGGTACAGTATTAGATTGAGAAGATACAGTACAAATGTTTCTTTCTCTTTGAAAAAATTGGCTCTGCTGACTAATAAACTGCTATGTATAAAATGATGGCTAATGGCTATGTATAAAAACTACCAAACACGCATCCTTGTTAAAGCTGTTCTCACACACTTCAATACGGTTTTTATTGTCTGCTTAACAGTTTAACGACTGGATGGCAAAAGCAGATTAGAAAGTTAAGGGAACTCAAAAAGCATCCCAAAAACGGCAACACGACATGTTTTGATAGGGTCTAATCAAACCCAGCAGGGGCCAGATTGGAGACAAAAACTAAGGGATGTAAGACGATGTCATCAACAACAGAACAGCCAAAAGCAGTAAACGATGCATCGAGCAAAAACAAAGGGATGGGAGTTTCAAAACACTGGGACACTGTTGGTCAAATAATTAGGTCAAGCTGTTATGCACAATTAGACTGTTAAATAATTAATTGACTGTAATTTTATTTGTTCAAATGCAAAATAAGTCTGCCAAGTGCACCTCTGCTTGAACATCTGCCAATGAAAGTGCAAAATAACCATCAATGCCCAGCAACACACAGCCAGAGATGAGAGGCAGTTTTTTTGTTTTGTTCATGTTAGTAGGTCCCAGAGTTTTCAGTGCACATACAAGCTACTGAGAGACTTTTAAATCTGTTTATGGTCATGTTTAAGGTTTTATGTCTGGCTTTGACGCAGCATGACTCACCTAAAGTCATAACAGTTAACATCAGTGTAAAGGATTATTAAGTTTATTGAGATTTACTGTTTTTGTAGAAAGGGTAAATTAAATCCAGTATTTACCTAACAAATATTTGATTAACAAGGTCGTGGTTTTAAGCAGAAAAAAAAATCCTTTGTGCGTGCTGCAGAAGGCGTTAGTCAAACTGTTAAATATTCAGTTTACAACGATCAAAAACGTGTTTTCTAATTAGGCTTCAGAGTGTTTCTTTTATGATGATTCTTTCTGTTTTAAGTCGGGGTATTTTATTAAGTCATGCAAATGAAGTGCCTTACCTTGATACTGAGCCCTGAAGCCTTTGTGGCGGTGGTTGCTCTCCGTTACAAAATGCAGCCGCAGCCAGTTTTTGTTGCTGATGATTGGTGCTGGAATATTCATTCCTGTCAACCTGAGTGTGAAAAATTAAACATAACAAAAGACATATCATTGTTTTATTGTTTGTTTGTTTGTTTGCTTGAAACCTATTTAGACCCTGTGTACAAGACAACCTCTGAAAACAGTTTTTCTGTGTTTATGGGGGCAGATAAACTACAAAGAAGAATAGTTTATGCGGCTCTGCTGTAGTTTCCATGCCAGCCAGTGTTGCCAGATAAGAAAATATTTATTATTGCACTGTCATTTTTAAATTATTGTATTGTGACCCTAACTCTCATACGTGCTGAGTGAGGGTGCTGTAAGATGAGGTGTGTTCTGTGTTTGGTGAATATGTGCACAGATAAGAAAGGGGTAAATAAAAGGCATTCATGTTTTGTCTGGCAACCCTGATGTCAGGCTCAGCTGCATGCAGTGTCTGCATGATCATAGTTACATCCAAACTGGAAAATCCCTTTGGACCCAGGTTGTTGGTTTGCTCCTACATGCGAAAAAAGATGAGTAGCACAAAAAATGCTCTGCTCTCTGCTATTTATTGTAACTGTTGTTAGAGCATTTCAACTTGGGACTGCAACTGCATGTATGACTTCACAACTGTGGAGTATTTCATACCGCAGCAGGTGTTTTCCCTGAAAACCTCTATTCTGGGATCAGGACTCTGAAACTTTTGGTTCCAGAAGGAACAGTGATTATTGTTGTGTACATAAATGATCGAACCACATCAGAAAATCTGTGGTTTCACTCAAAAAACACATTGTGTAAACAAGGCCTATGGTTGCCACGGTCATTATTACACCGAAGGCTACAGCAATAATATTTTTGCGTGTGTGTGTGTATGTGTGTGTGTGTGTGTGTGTGTTTATTTGTCTGTTGCATCAGCAAAATATATCATGGAGCAGTGGACAGGTGTAATGAAACTGTCACAAAGCTGAAAGCAATCATTGGATTTTCATCTACACTGATCACCATTTAAGGTCAAATTAATTCAAAATGGCCACCACAGTTACACAACTGCAGCAAACACAAAAATCGCCACAACCATTGATATAAACTCTGTTCATCTGTTAGCAAAATGTCTCATAAACCACTGGAGGAAAATAGTAAAACTCTGAAGGTAAAAGTTGGATTTACATCAAAAACTCTATGTCTTTTGGAGTCAGCTCATTTGAAGATGGTCACCACAGCTAATCAATCTTAGACAACACAAAAACACATATAACTTTGTCAATTTTACTGATATTTACAGAGCTGTGTTTAGTATGGTTGTAGCTGAGAGTCATTCACACAAGCTCTTGCGATCTTAGATGAGGCTTCACATTCGACCCCTCTGACATGAAAGATGTCAGGCAGTGCATATCAGAGACCACCAGATCATAAAAGGACAATAATATATAAACACACGCTTTAAAACATACCAGGGTAAATAAAAGTACATTCAAATATAAAAACAGACCCTTAAATTAACTCATCTAGAAAGTTTTTGATAACAGTTTTCTAAAACTAGTGTTTCTAAGGATGTTTTCACACCTGATAGTCCGTCAGACTCGGTTCGGTTAGGGACCAAATTCAGAACATTTGTTACATTTTCAGCTGCTGTGGTTTGCATTCACGCTGCACTAAGTCAGTCGAGCCAACCTGTTCCACCCCGTGCCTGTGGTGGCGCTGCACCAAGAACTACTGAAGGAAACAACACAAAAACCTCTGAAAAAGACACTTCTTCTTCTTCTTCTTCTTCTGGAAATAAAAACAAAAACGGAGTGGCGTCAAATTTTAGGATTTCTGTTTTGTCATTGTTCAACAATGGACTCAGCATGAGCAAGCAGAATATGAGGCAGAAGACCATGGAGAATGTTGTTCTTTACACTAGGCGTCTGACGGCTACGTATGAGGTAAGAGAAATGCTTGTTTGTTTTTGTTGTATTTACCCAGAATGCCCTGCGCTATAGTCCACTTCCTGCTTTTGGAGCGGTCTCCAGCCCTCTTGCATTCATACCAACCATTCAAGGTTGCTTCAACCAGACTGAGATCTAGGTTTTTTTGCAGACCAGCGTTCGTTTTTTGGCCCACATCAGAGTTTGATTGCGCATTCACACCTCCTCAAACAAACCGGACTTTCTAGGCAAACGGACTAGAGTTTGATTAAAGCGGACTAAACAGGGCTGGTGTGAATGCACCCTAAAAAAATAACAATCCAATATAAAAATGTCAGAAAAGCTCAAATATCATGGAAATCCATTCTGCACCCTGAAGGTAATTAAAAGAAAATTGGAAGTCCTATAAGTAGAGAGAGCCATGATGACTGTCAAAAGAAGCAATGCCTAATTTTATGTATAAACTTTAAGACCTTTAAAATATGTGGAAATAAAAAGACCAGAACAATTTTAGAAACCGTACACATCAAAAAGGTTGTGTATTTCATCATCATACTGTGTGGAACATTTTGCAGTTAACATCCTGGTGCATGCTCAATAATCCATGTACAAATATCTAAACAAGTTAAGTCAGGTCCTCTGGACGTCAAGATGACCTGACTTAACCTTTTTTTAGATTTTGCAGTTAAATCTCCCTGAATTATTAAACCTAAATAGTAATTCAACAATGTTCAGTCAGGTCATCTGGATGGTTTATTTTTAGTGCTGAGACGTTTCGTGTTGGATTGAAGAAGTCTGTTGGATGATGGACGAAACATCTCAAACCGTCCAGATGACCCGACTGAACATTGTTGGATTTTATACCTGGATCATTGAGCATGAACTTTGTTCAAATAGTGATTGTGTAAAAACTGTTAAAAAGTCTCATTTAAACTCTGAAAGGCGTAAAGAATGCCTGAACCTTAAAGCTCCTAAAAGTGCTGATTTTCTCATTTGTTTTGCCAATACCCCATTGTTGTGTGTATGAACACGTTTCAGGGGTTTTGGCAGTTTTAGTTTTCGCAGTACAATGCCCTGCTGCCAAAAGTTATGGCACTCATTTGATGAATTTTGTGTAGGGTTTTCTAAAGCTGTGGGAGGAGTAGCTAATTAAAAATTGCGACAGAAAGGGAAGATTACGGCGGGGAAAGTAATAAACGTGTTTGAATGCTTATCCGTTTCTCCTATAAAACGTTGTGTAAATTAAAGATGATGGCGTAAGTACAAGCTTCCAAACATGGCTTCAGGTTCTGATCCACACATAGTAAGTAGCTTTTGTAGTTCTTTTTCTTGGAAAATCATTTCTGGAAAGAAGTTTGTGCTTGCATGTATAAAAAAAAAAATGTTAGCAAGATTTTAGAAAGCAGATGGCACAGAGGAAAATGACTTGTTTATCTTGGATGTTGTGTACGCATGCGATAAGAGTTTGTCGAAACAGTTGTGTTTGGCTCAGAGCTGTGCCTCCATATTTCTGCCTGGTTATAGATCAGAAGTCTTACACAGCCTCTGTGTAGCTGCAGCAGCAGAAATATTTTACAGTCACAGAGGTTTACAGTTGCCGGGGGCCTCCTCATTTGTTGGACAAATTTTCATTTTTTTCTGATCCTTCCATTCCTAACACTGTCGTGTCATACCACAATCAATAGACCAATGTCATTGTAGATTTTAACCAGAGAACTGGGACAGGCAGCAAAATTGCACAGAGCGACTGAGCATGCAAAAAGCAAGAAATAAAAAATAAAACCCATCACATCTTGTCAGTGTGTGACATCTGTTGACTCTTTTGTTGTGTGTTTAAGCACTTTAAAAGTTTATTTTTCTTCATAATGCATTTGGCATTTACCTTCGAGCCACCTTGGGAACGAAGTTGCAAAATAAAAATAAAAGAACTGAAAACGGCAGTTTACAAAAGGAGACAGTGATGGAGCAAAAACAAAGAGCAAGGACTGACTTTTTCAGTCCACGGCTATTTCGAAACCAACAAAATCATTCTTCAGTCTACATGACATTTGATGTCTATGTATTTTAGTTACTAATGCTCCCTCACATTTGAATTTTGAACTATATTACCTCAGAGTGTAACATACTGTCAAATGTAGAGTAATGTATGGTTCATTTTTAATTGATGAGCAAACTGAATGCAGTTTTTGAATAGTAACTTGTTGAGGTCTAGATTATCCATCACAAAAGGTAGAGAATGGCAGCTCCTGAAGCGGAGTTAAAAGGTAATTAATTCCCACATAAAACTGACCTTTCTTCTCATTGCATAATTGATAAAATGATAATAACAACAAAATACAAGCAGAATGAAAAATAGAGCTGATGTCCGGGAGCTGCAGACACTGCCTGCGTGATTCTTGGAAGTGAGACAAATTTTCACAAGAGAACTTCTTCCAAGTCTCAATGAAAAGGAATCAATATGAGTAAGTTGTTCAAGGCCACTGGAGGTGAATTTATTTTGTTACAAAGGCAAATGCAGCAGAATAAGGTAAGCATGATCCTACATCAATAGCAAATAAAATCTTAACGATGCCTTACAGTACAGTACATTGATGCCACTGCGGCAAACAGCTGGACAAAGACTGTGAAAAAAGCAGCCTCCAGAAGAAAAGACAAAAGAAACACAGCAAACATTTGCCAGAGATTGTCACATATAGGTGGCAAGATGTCTTTTGAACATTTCAGGAAGAATAGTCATTTTCAAATCACTCCCTCCAGCTGGTGCTCAGTAGGAATACACACTCATGAAAACAAATATGCTCACAGGCAAAAGCCATCAGAGAGAAATACACCATCTTATGCCAGTTTAAGATTTGAGTCCACATTTTTTTATTAAACATAACATGTATTGTGTCAGAAAAGATGGACGGTAACTGCCAAGAACATATTTTTAACAGAATTTCTGTCATCAAACATTTGCATTTTGTGATACTGCCCATCCAAACCATCAACACATTGCTAGATCCCAACCAGACTGTTCAAAGAGGTGTTCCCCTTAATTAAGATCCCCCGCTTGGATCTGTTTAATCTGTCTTTAATGAATGGTTATATGAAACAAGGCTTTAAGGTTACTGTAATCAAAGTTTTATATTAAAAACCTCATCTTGATATAGGAGATATGACCATTTATAGACCAAAGCTCAATATTTCATTTATCTTAGAAGTTAGAGAAAATATTAGCAAAATAATTTTGTGAAGATTTAGACAGAAGTAAACAATCTGTTTGTGGAGTTTCAGTCAGAGTTTGGAGTCCATCATAGTACAGAAACAGTACTGCTGAAAGTTACTGATACTATTCCCATGACGTCAGACAGTGGACGTGTGTCCATAATTGTCCGTTTCAACATGTGACTTGTATCTTTTTAGACTGTAAACATACTTACTAGGAAAAAGCTAAATCATATTAATTATATATATATATATATATGTATATATATATATATATAA